CATTTTCTCCTTTAGGAGTCAGATGGATCTAGTTTAGCTAGTTAAAAGTCCTTAAAAGTGGCTTGATCAGTTATAGTAGTGAGGTGACTGGGATCAATTTGAATGAAATGATCAATAATATTCCTTCTTTTTCTTCAACGTCAAGGCTTGGCCAACCTTTCTTTCCTATAAATAGGTATGTGAGGCCACAAATAACAATAGGACAAATTGAATGAAGAATAATTTCCAACTGCAATGTAGGATTGGTGCTCAAAGTTATTTTTATTTTCCTCTTCTCTTTCTTTCAAATAAGATCTAACATTTTTATACTCTCTTGAGGTCTAATCTGATTTGTCTGCTATTTTCTATTTCTTRCATTTGTACAGTGTTCTTGACTATTTTATGATTTCCTTAATCCCTAGACCCACAAAGTTAACCCTATGGGAATAAAAGGAGATTATTTCATCCCTAGGAAAGATCACCCTCTGTGGAAACCCCTATTGTCATGTGAAGCACACCCTATCATCCTGAAGTTGCAGACTCCATTAACATAGAGCCTTGCGACTTTCTAGGGATTCCAAACCCTTTATATGCACAATTAGCAGAGCCTAGAGTATAATGGGGGGTGGAAAATGAACAGAAAATGCTATATGCTCAGAAAGAAAAGACTTCTTCAATGTCAAACATGCAAACTACAAAGAACTAATTATCCATGTTGACGTGGTAAATGGAACATGAACCAAGAATAATAGAAAGTTAGGAACCAGTGGTACAAGCATACCATTTGCAATAAAAAAAAAAGAAAAAAAAAAGAAAAAACGCAGGAGAGAAAGACGTAACCAAGAAAGAAAAAGGCTTAAGTACTAGATAATGTGATTATTAAATTAAGAAAACGCAAGCAGACAAGTTCAGATGTTCTACCAGAGACAGAGCATACTTAGATGTTCAATCAGTTCAAATTTCAAACWTGTAAGGAACGTGTASGCATAWGGGTATGTTTTACCATTCACCAAAGTAGTAGATTGAACAAGAAATAATGGAAAATTTACATCTTACATGGAATTTGACGCCCCCAAAGCGGAACAAGCCCCTTGTACAGACTGTGAAGAAGATTTTATGGAATAAGAAAACATTAAATCCGTAGTGTGAAATTCCAATTCATAGATGAGAGRGGGCAAGGGGGGATGAAAGAAACAAGGAAGAACATACCCTAGAGCACCTTCAGATTTCACAAATCTGGGAAGGCCATCAGCCAATCCTCTGGCAAACCCAGGCTGAGTTTGCACCCGGACCTTCACTGCTTCCATGGGGCAAAGTGCAACGTCAGCAATAACTTCAGCAGATGCAGAGCCAGCAAGGTAGATCAGGGTCTTGTATTTRGCTGCATACTCAGGCCCAGCAATGTCTGAGTAGTACTTCTTAAAGAACTCGTAGAATCCAARCTTGCAGGCACCCTGAGCACTATAGCCAAGCAGGGTTGGCACCCAACCCCTGWAGAAACCTCTAACTCCCTGCTCCCTAAGCWAGACCCCAAAACCGGATGTGATGCTCTTGTATTTAGCAGGATCAATCTGAAAATTGTACGAATTCCTTTTTTAGAATCATATGCTCCAGCAGACCAAAGAGAAAGTGGAAAAAAAGAAATGCTATAAGATAATCATGAAATAGGATATGCGGTTAAACAAGGGGAAATCAATCAAACAGTGGAATTCAGCTTTCAACTACCAAACTGGAAATGGGAGAAAAATYTCGAATTGAATAACATAATCCATGAGAAATCACCGAAACAGAAGGAAGAAAATCCAAATTCACTGATCCTTTCGCTCAGTAATAAACAGAAAACAAATCAAGTGAAAGTTAACACCGTCTAAARCGTAACCTATTCATATGGCACCATTGAGGCAAAAAATGAAAAACTCCGACTGGACAAAATTTGAAATATCAACGACTCTAAAAAAATACATGAGATTCCATTGAAAATTTTATAACATTCAGTAAAAAGACATGACAATTCGAGATATCATGTAATCCAATAGAATGAAATTCARTAAAATAATTCCAGAAATACGATGCACTGACCGATCAATAAAACAAGACTCAATCAGATGCAAGCATAATCCTAATTACGTAAACGAAAAGCCATGATACAATATCCAACGACCATGAATAAGCAGAAAATATCAAAAGAAGAAAAAAATCCTCTGGAATGACGGATTGGATTCTGCACAAACTCAAAAGGTCAAAGAAAGGCATGAAGCACGAGCCAAATCGGAGGAAAAAAAACGGTGGATAGATGGAAAATGGAAATTATACCTGCATATTACATTTGACGAGATCAAGGGGAGTGACAGACGTGTGAGTGGGGCCACAACTCAAAATTCCGCCAGCTGTACAGGCAGCATAGAAAGTGGGAGAGTACATCTCGAYCTTGCCGGGCTCGCTGGGAGCCGGAATCACGAAACTCCTCTTCGCTGAGACGCCATCTGTTGAAGGCAAAGGCAAGCTAGGGCTCCTGTTGAGCAAATCCAAGGTTTTCTTGAGCGACGAAGAAGAAGAAGTCGAGTAAAGGAAGCTTGGGATCAGGGACTGACGGTTGTTATCGGAAAGAGCCATTGAGAGACTAGGGTTAGGGCGGGTCGGTTGAAGTTTTCAAGGGGAAGAAAAAAAGCTAAGACTTTTTATGTATGGCGAAGGGGGAGAAATATAAATAGAGAATGAATGGAAGAATGATCGGAGGAGGCGAGGTGAAGGAAACAAACCAAAGGCTCTCCCTCAACAACTCGATCTTTCGCTGCACGGGACGAGACCACTCTCGTTTAATTTGAAGTTTAGAAGAAGAAGAAGAAGAAGAATAAAAAAAGCGAATGTGAGCTCCAATAACACAGGAAGGCCCCAGCGAATCTGAGCTCCAATAACACAGGAAGGCCCCTCCCTCCTGCACCTTGTCGTTATTTATACGAGACTAAACGTCAACCTCAGGGTTCAAAATTCAACAGCCCTCGCCTCTACTCCTGGCTGGCACTCTGGCAGCCTCTATGCTTATTTCTTAATGCTATGCCTCCAGTTTGTTCAAAATTCAACATCTTTGACCATCCAACCTTACCCAATCACTTCGTTTCAACATCTTTGACCATATCGGAAATGCATGATTATTAAAAGTATTTTGTCCAAAATTCATCATCACTTTTCACGAATTCTTTTAAATTTATCATAACTATTCAAAACATCCAAAACTCACCATCTCAATCAATTTTTATTTTCCAAAACTCATTATCGTTTAGAGTATTTATCCAAATTGTTCACGCCAACCTAAATATAAGTTTTATGACCAAACTGCCCTTGATAGTGACTCAGCTTGTTAAACAATTTTTTTTTTACTAAAGTGCCCTTTAAGGGCCCAAACTTCTTTCATATATAAGATTTCTGTTTGTTGAGATGAGAACCTTTCTTGCTCTCAATGTCCAAGAAAAAGTCTTCTTACTCTCAACATCCAATGAACCTCTTATCAGTTATTTCACCTTCATTTTTTTTTCCATTTTTGCTTAATTAGGGCACTTGTTTTTTCACTGAGCGTGGGGGTGGTTTTTTATTCCAAAACCACACGTTACTGGTTCCCTAACCAGAAGTGGCTGATGAACACAGAAAAAACAAAATATCCAGAGTACCCATCGCCCACTAAATTCTAAAACGAACAACTTAGTTCATTGGATCTCCATTAGAATATTTTCGTTATTTCTTCCTTTTAAAAATAATGTGGTGGAGAAATTTCATGTTTCTTGGCTGACGAGTGAGTGGATTCCTTTGGAATGAACAAGAATTTGATGTTGTGGTGGGAGATGTAAAAATCAAAGCAAATTGATCATTGTATGTGGATTTTCCATTGCCTTACACTGAATCAAGAAATGCTATGGTGATGCCAATCAAAGATGATCATAGGAAGAATACTTGGATTTTTTTCAAGCCTTTGACTTGAGATCTGTAGTTGACGGTTTGTAGCCTTCATCTTTATTGGCATCGTGGTTTGGGTTCTTCAACACCAAATAAACACAGAGTTCAGGGGATCACCCGGACAGCAATTTGGAATGATATTCTGGTTCTACTTATCTCTCTCTCTCACTAAACATGCAAATTAACACTAAAGTCTGAAGTCTGAATATGAAGTTGGGTCTAATATGCTGAAAAAACATGATCTAAAATTAACAAGTTAATAAAGAGCATCCTTCTCATCTATATTGGTTTGGCCACATCATCATTCAATGCAGATGAAGCCGGAAAAATTTTATAGAAAATGATGAGGGTAGATTTGGCTCTCCACTAACATCATGACACAAGGCATCTTAGAACAATTGGGTGACACCTAGAACCACCTAGGCGACAACTTGCCTTAGCCAAAATGATGGAGTCCCAGCTAGCGACCTGGCATTGTCGCCGACCTGTCGACCTGCCCCTGTTGGTAACTTGGCGACCTACCTCTAGCACCGACCTAGCGACTTGCCCATGTTGCCGACCTGGCGACCTACCTCTAGTGCCAACCTAGCGACCTGCCCCTGTTGCCAACTTGGCGACCTACCTCCATTGCCAACTTGGCGACCTACCTCCACTGCCAACTTGGCGACCTGCCTCTAGTGCCGACCTAGCGACCTACGAGACGTGCTCACCATCGATTTTTGCATGCATCCCATCACTCCCAGGTCTCTCGGAAGTAAGCTCTCACACCGAAAGTTTTGGGAGAAACCAAGTAAGGCGCAAAGATTGGTCTACGTGCATGACTACCTTCGAGGACTTTGGGGCAGTTAGGCACATCCTCACAGAAATCCCGGACGTGTTGCGTGATGCTCATGCCAAACAATGCCTATATAAAGGCCTTACCTCCAACCCTAGGGGGGAGAGGCTCAATTTAGTTCTCGAAAATCTCTAGCTCTCTCACATTTAGCTATCTTAAAATCTCTGATTCGCTAACTTAAGCATCGGAGTGCCCACCCCAAGTAAAGCAACCAAGGCACTCTGACACTATGTCCTTGCAAGTCGCATCAGAGCCACATCTTCAGCTCGTCACCACTCAGATAGACATCAGAACCACCTTTCCAGCTTGTTACCACTCAGCTAGACATTAGAGCCACCTCTCCAAGTCATCACCATTCAGTTTGGCGTCAGAGCCACCTCTCCAGCTCGTCACCATTCAACTAGGCGTCCAAGCCACCTTCCAGGTAGGAACCATTCAGTCAGGCATCTAAGTCACATTTCAGGTAGGGATTATTCAACCAGGCATCCAAGTCACCTGCCAATCGGGAACTGCCGAAATGCACTTCATCAAAAAATAAACTTAAAGTTCCTATATAATTCTTTTATCATTGTCTCTAACAGTATTAGACAAAGGAACTATAATTGGTATGTATGTACCTTAAATCTCTTTAATCAATCACTTCTGATGTTGTGCGATCCGGACACTCCTACCGGGCGGAGACCTGGCTTATAGCTGGCGACGGACGATACCTGAGAAGAAGAGGGAGGTGAAGAATTCCCGGGGAGCTCACCCGGCGGGAACACTCTGATGGTTAAGTTAGAACTCTGAGAGAATTGTAGAAAATGCAAAGAGAGAGCTAAGAGTGCAGATGGCGCAAGTTCAATACCTTTGGTCCTTGGGGATCGGGGTCCTTTTATATTGGAGTTCTATCAAATCAAGCGTAACCGCCTCTGTCGTAGCCGTTACTGCCAGAGCTGAGGTGGCGGGTGCAGGCAACCGTTGCAGGGTACGGACCTGTCAAGCATGCCACATCTTTTAGAAATGGCAAGCACGACGCCGCCTGACGAGGGACGTGGGTGCAGCCTCCAGATTTGGCAGGTACTGTTGTTAGGCAGATCTTTCCTACAGGTTGCCGAACTACTTTGCACCGAGCTACCGTACACCGAGGTTCTGGGGGTGCGTCGAGGTGCTTACGCTTGAAGCGGGCCTTAGGCAAGTATAAACAAAAGTGTTAATGGTGCTGACCCAAAGTGTTTCCACTTCGGGATACCTAGCCGCAGGTCTGGGTGTTCCCTTCTTAGGAAGGAAGAGCTCGGGGTTCATTGGGAGGAGCTCGGGACTCCTTGCTTGGAGGGAGCTCGGGGTGCTCCATCCTTAGAGAGAATTCGGGGTAAGCTGGATGTTACTTCTCGGTGAGTTGCCACATCCACCGAGTTGTCCGGCTGGGCTCCAGCGAGTTCGTTACGCCGAGTTATGGCCAAGCTGTCACACTGAGTTGTCACTTTTGCCAAGTCATGTCCACATGTCCCTGTGCTACGAGGTCGGGCCAAATCACCCTCCATCAATTGCCCCCACTCCCCGTGTTGGGGGTTCTGACCCAGCGCAGGGAGTCTGCGGTGTGCCGAGTGGATTTGGCTTGGAGCTCAGGCCTTCTTGTCAGGCAGCTCATTGGTCGGACCAGTTCACTGCTCGGCTCAATCAAGAGCAACCCGAGTCGCGTGCTGTTCACGTGCGGACGTAACGCGATCTATGGACTCCACAGACGTAAAAAAATGCGCTAAACTGATTTCGCTTCGGGGTTCACGTAGCCGGTTTTCTTGAGAGCCATCAGATCATCTTAATCCTAACCGTTGATGCCCGAGTATAGTGGCTATAAATCGTGGGGGTCCTGGTCATTTTTCCCTCGCCATAAGTTCTCAGCATTCGTCAAGAGCTCGCGTCTAAGGTCTCCAGCTCGGGTCAATTCTCCCTAGTTCGGTTGCTTTTCCTTGGTGAGTCCCCTTAGCTTTTCTTTCAGTTTTCTTATTTCTTCCAGTTCGTGTCTTTCTTTCACAATGTCTAGCTTCGATAGTCAACTGGATGAGCCCGAGGTGGGTACCTCGGCTCAGGGTGACCCTACCGAAGTCCAGTCTCACGAGGCGCGGGAGGCCTCGGGTAATCTGGCATCCACCTCTCACCAAGGTCGGATGCCGAATTGGTTCGGTCCTTCCACCATGACCCTGGAAAGATTCTGACACCTTATCCGGCAATACAACTTACCAAGGGAGTATACCTACAGTCTGCCTGCGAGTAACTTCCCATGGGAGCACGGTCCTGACGAGATTGTGATCTTCCAGGAGCAGCTCATAACCGGGCTTCGTCTTCCTTTCCACCCCCTTATTGTAGAGGTTCTAAATCACTTCAACGTCACAATAGACCAGCTTCACCTGAACTCCATTCGTAATGTGGTTGGGACCATTTCCCTCTGCTTTGAGTACGTCTTCCCTTTAGACTTAGACATTTTTTGCTCAATTCTCTCAACAAAGAAGAGCGCTTAAAGCGTTCTCCCCGAGCACAGGCGGGCCTACTACCTGTCCCCTCGCCCGGGTTTCAAGTTACTGCACAAGCTTCCCAGCAAAGTCCTGGCTTGGAATCTGTACTACTTTGTAGTCCGGAACACCGCGGGGTGGCCCTTCCCCACTCATTGGAGGGCGGTTGTTCAGGACCCCGACGTCATACTAGACAAGAAGACAAGGGAGACACTCCAGTCATGGGCTGAGCTCGGGTTTAATTACAAGGATTATATCACCGAGAGCAAGCTCATACAGGCCGGCTTGAGCCCGGGTAGGTCTTCTTACCTAGAGTTAAACATTTTACCTTAGTAGCTTGTACCTTTGAGTTGCTAACGCCGAGCTTTGTGGCAAGACCCATGGAGGAAGAGAAGCTCAAGGGGGAGAGGCTTTTCAGGCATATGAAGGGAAGGAAGAAGTGGGCTGCCAAGAGAGCTCGTGTCGAGTCCCTGTAGGCCCCCACCTCTGAGCCCAAACTTCCGCAGGCCCCTACCTTTGAGCCTGAGCTCCCTGATGTACCTCCGATCATCAATTTGGAGGAGATCTTACCACCTCGGGAGCCCGAGACATCGGTAGAGCCTGTTCCAAAGGTAGTTGTGGAGCTTGAGGTCACCACCG